TAATTTTGTCACCTGGTCAAAGAACGCAATATGATTTGTCTGGCATGATCTGTTTATGACAAACCCATGTTGGCTTTTGGTAATGATTTTGTTTGCCTCTAGGTGTTTGCTGATTCCCAGGTATTAAGATCAGGTTGATAGGTCTGTAGTTTCCTGGATCATTTCCCCCCCTTTTTCGAAGATGGGAACTACATCAGCTCTTTTTCAGTCCTCTGGTAGTTCCCCAGTGCTCCAGGATCTTTGAAAGATATAGTTCAGTGGTTTTGAGATCACATCTGCCAGTTCCTTCACAACCTTGGGGTGTAATCCATCTGGTCCTGGTGATTTGAACTCGTCTAGGGTGGACAGGTGCTCACTTACCATTTTGCCTATCTTAACTTGTGTTTCTAATCTGTTTTTTACGTACTGTTTTTGATAGGTTGGACTGTTTTTTCCCTTTGTGTAAAGATGGATGCAAAAAACGAGTTAAGTAGTTCTCTTTTCTCCCTGTTGCTTGTCACTTTCTTGCCAATTTCTCCCACTAATGGACCAATCATTTCCTTAACTTATTTCTTGTTGTTTACATGTAGAAAGAAGCTTTTTTTGTTATTTTTGACTTTTGTCACAAGCCCTATTCATTTTGAGCCTTAGCTTTCCTCACTTCATCTTTGCAGGCTCAGGCTATTTGCTGATATTCTGCCTTAGTTATGTGCCTTTCTTTCCACTTTCTATATTTGTCTTTTTTGTCTTTCAATTTATCAGAGTTCTTTATGCAGCCATGCTGGTTTCTTTTGAGAGCTGTTGTTTTTCTTCTTCATTGGTATTGTGCTAGACTGGGCTTTTATAATCTCACTTTTCAAAATTTCCCAAGCTGCTTGAGTTGTTTGCCCCTTGAGGATTCTCATCCATGGAATCCTTCCCAAGCTCTAAGTTTGTTGAAATTAGCTCTCTTAAAGTCCAAGACTCTAGTTTGACTATGTTCTATTGCTTGTGCTTACATAATGTTGAATTCCAATATTGCATGATCACTCCCCCCCTAAGGTTTCTGTGGCTTCAATACCTTCTATCATTTCATCTCTGTTAGTGAGAATTAAGTCCAATATGGCCGATCCCCTAGTTCCCTTCTCTACTTTTTGGGAGACAAAGTTGTCTGCTAGATTTGTCAGGAATCTGTTTGATCTTCCACTTGGTGCAGAGTTTGTCTCCTAGTTGATGTCAGGGTAATTAAAGTCCCCCATTACTATTGTGATGTGCTTCCTACATACCTTAGTTAACTGACTAGCAAAAAGTTCATCTATTTCCTCTATTTGGTTGGGTGGCCTATAGTATAAACCTATGGCAATGTCATTTCCCCCCCTTTTATATTGACCCAAATGCATTCAAGACAGTTTTCACCATTGTTCTGCTCTATTCCTTTAGATATGTAGTTATTTCTTATATAGAGAGCAACTCAACCTCCTCTTTTATTTGGTCAGTTTCTTTTAAATAATTTAAATCTCTGTAGCTGTGTGTTCCATTTGTGGGTTTCATTCCACCAAGTTTCCATAATGGCAACAATATCATATCTGCCCTCATTTACCTGAATTTCTAATTCACCCTGTTTATTGCTCATACTCTGTGGGTTGGTGTATAGACATTTGAATCCTTTATGACCGACCCTGTGTTTACTTTCTACGTAACCTGTGTGGTGCCTGAGTTCCCCTATTTTCTTACCACCTGTTTGATTAGTGTACTTGGCTCGGCACTCACTATTAAAAGCTTGATTTTGCTTGACAGCAAGGTTGATATTCTTATCCGCACACACATCTATGTTACATGCACTGATAACCCTATAATTTTTAGATTGCTGGGAACAGGAATGTTCTGTATCAATTAACTCACTGTCCCAGTTGTTCAGTTAAATATTTCTCCAGAAAATCTGTAAATTTATTGCCAAGTAACTCAGTCCCTTTCTTTGGTGGATGCAAACCATCTCTTTTGTACAAGTTTTCATTGGACCAGCTGCAGACATTGTGACTTAGTATACTGTGTGTGTGTGTGTGTGTGTGTATAGTATATACTATGTTTCTTTGAGAGCAGTGAAATTGGCTAAATCAGAGGTGTTGATTAAAACCGGAAGAATTGCTTTCTTTTAATTATTTTCATACTGCACAAAAAGTTCCCAAGACTTTAAGCAGGAAAACACTGAGGGGATGTCATTATGCATCAGCCTCAACCAGAGGATTTTCCAAACCCACAAGACTGGAATCTTTTTATTGGACCCAGAGAATCTTTTTTAATTTACATTGGACACCAAAAATTTAAAAATATTTAACAGATTTGTATTTCCCAATTTAATTCTGAGTTACGTAGGTTTACAAATAGCAGTATAAAACAATAAAACATTTATGATAAATATAAACATTAAAACATCCATGGTAAATAAGCTGACCATATTTTATGGAAAACATCTGCAGAGAAGTTACATTTGTGGGGAAATATGGAGCTGAAAATCTTCCCTGCCGTCTAAGTTAAGCCAGGGGGTTTTTAACAAGTGACAATGAAATTCACCCCTTCTAAATTCTTTTACTGAACTGGGAAATCTAGGTTATGGGAAGTCATGTATGTCTGCAGCAGCAGATGCTCTCCCCAGGAGTCTGCATTCAGGGAAGATTGGAACTGAAGTAACCTCTATTTTGAACCACCAAGGAGAGAGGGATTTCAAAACATCCAATGACTCTAAAGTCAATTTGAAAAGTGTTAGTCTGGGCAGCAAAAGTTTGCTAAGATTGTTATGGTGAATTCTTGAAAGTTGCTGCTGTTGAAAGGAATGGGAGATAGGTGTCCTATGTGCTTTATAGTGCTTACCTGAAAGTTGCAGAGATGGGCGTTAGGAAAGTTGATGTAATTAGATCTTGATTTGATCTAATAAAGCACTCCTTAGGATATTAAGTAAAGGGAGTCATTAAAATAATTGGATGCAGAATAGTTATGCCTGTTGTGTAATGTATAATCAAGCTTTTGAAATGGAAGACACCTTAGCAGATTTTGAGAACTTAACTAAAAATACAGGTCTATGATGGGAAGGTCTTGACTGACTGCATTATGTCATTCATCCACCTAGAATGATTCTGGGAAAAGAAAGCTTTCTGCTGCCATATTATTTGGGGGCATTACTTCCCCCACCTCCCGCACAAAACAATACAACCATACTCGTTTTTTTCATTTTGTTGAATCTGGTTTGTTTTAAAAATATATATCAAGTGTTCTGTCTTTTTTGAGTTCTAAACCATATTGACTTGTGTCAGTACTCAGTGACACCAAAGTAATTTGGTGATTACCCCTCTCCCCTCAAGCTGTATTTGTATGCTGCATATTTGCAAGATTGTAAGTGGTTTATAAATCATAAAACTATAAAATATTCATAAAGCAAACCACCCTAATAAATAGATTACTAAAACTATTAATAATAATTGCTGTTATCTGTATTTGTTTTTATGATTTTGCAAAATGCCATCACAGTGGGGGAAATCTGATCTTGGGGTAAAGCTGTTCTAAAGTGAACAGACTACCACTTTATATCCAATCTTTTACCAAGATGTCTAGTTAAATAAACCCTTACATACACAATTATAGTTTCATTTTGACCTGTGGGGGGTATGCTGGTTCAAATGCACAAGGAATTTCATAGCAACTGAAGTTCATAGTACAAATAACAATATATAGCCTTATGTATTAGTGGTACCTTATCCATCAAGTGTGATGACTCTTATGTAGCCCAAACTGCACTATTCATAAAGCAGAACAAAAAAACATGGTAGGGTTAGGTATACCTACTTTACTGGCTTTCTACCTATTTCAAACCGTTAAGTCTTTTGTTGTAGTTTCTAAACACAGTAAAGATGCCTGTGATATTTTAATCCATATACCGTTACACAATTTCTGAGTGCTTCACATATTACATTAACCCATATTTTATTTGGTTTTGAATTAACGTGCTTTGTGATCTCAGTCACTCTGGTTTATGAACGGGTTTCTGACTTAGCGTGATGTGTTAATCAGACCATTCTAACTTGCTTAGTAAATATTAGAATGAACTATGGTTTAATATGCTGTTTGTTTTTAAAGTGCCACACACATCTTATTTTTGCTGCAAAGGAATTAGTGTTTTATCTCCCCACACAAGGGGTGGCCCTTTATACAACTGCGATAATGCCTACTCAGTATGGCAAGTGGTGGTGAATTCAAACTAGAGCTTCTTGTTAGATCTTCAGATTATGTCACAGATGTTGACAGCATTTACACAATAAATAATAAAGATATTTATTACCCAATGAACATTTATCATTGTCTTGTATGCTCAGTATCTTTTTGAGTCTGCGTGGGCACCATTTCCTTAAAAAAAAAAAAAAAAAAGCAAAACAACAAATGGTAGCCAATATGCACAAAGTAGAAGATACTAAAGAATATCCCATCTCCACCCGAGGAGTGAATAAGAGGAATTACCTTGTTTGGAAATAATGCTGTACCAGACTGGGAGATAAAATAACGATCTACAACAAGCCATTTTTAATATATATAATCTGAAGTCAAATCTGGGTTTGGGTGATATACTAAGCCAAACCTTAATACCGTATAGCTATTCCCAGTGTATGGTGTTAGTGCAATTGTTCCTTTAATTATATTTCCAGTTGGTGAGTGTGCTTTTTGCAGATAGAACCATTTACGTTGAGAGGCACCAGATTTTGGATGCCGAGATAATGTCTGCGCAATCTGAAGCCATTTATGGGAGGACACTCTCTTGCATTCCACGAGTCTTACTTCTAAGTCAACATGCATCAGGATGTATTATTATTATTACTGAAATTGTCACCGGATGAATTTACAGACTAACCTTCAGATCTATTGCATTATGCCAAAAAGAATCTTAAAAGAATGAAAAACTTCTCTACTAAAAACTTTGAGAACACTGCAAAAATTGAAAACACTGCTCCTAAGGAGATTAATACTGTAATCTGTATACTTCCAGTAAGCATACTCACCAGTCTTTTCCAATCTGTATGAATAGACCGTCTTGTTCTATATGTGTTTGTATATTGCAGTTAGCATCTCTTGCAGCATAAGTAGTTCAGTGTCTATTTCATCTGCACTCATCTTTTTCTATTCAACAGCCAATCTTAGCGCCTCTCATACTGTACCTCACTTTCTAGTGGAGTCAGCTCCTGAATATATTCTTGCTATAAATGTTTCTGTCCTAGAATGACATTTGTAAAGAAATCAATTAGTGCTTGCCATCCGCCTTTGACCTCATTTGCCTTTTGTAGATCTCTTCAATACTTGCACTTCTGTATTCCTAATATAATTGTAAATTTTTCTGTGACTTACATGATCTTTTAAAAGCATCTTTCCTTGTTTTTCACTGTTATAACATTCTTAAATTGAATGTATTTTTTTGTTTTGTCTTTTGCTTGATAGTTTGGCTGTCATATTTCCTTGTCCATGAGTTTTTGTTAATTTTCCTTTCTATCAGGATGGTTTATTCTGGAAGTCAGTGTCATTTTTTTTTTTGGTAAAGAAAACAAAAAAACGAAATCAAAACTATTGTCGAAAGTCCAAGAAAAAGTAGATTTTAATTTAGACGATTTTAACGAGAAATGTAACGAGAATTTAAGACAGACATACTGTTTGGAAACAGTTTAGAAGTTTTGGGTAATTGAAGGAAATTACAATATTCTAATTGGTATATATTCACTGTAACTTTGTAAAGTTTTTGTTCCATAATATCAACTTGAAAGTGTCATAAGTGACTGAACTTCATTTTTTCTTTTTCTAATTCCTATCATGTAGTTAATCTGAATCTGATCTCATTTGTCCAATGATGTTTGCCTGTGAAATTTGTGAAAAATTGCTAAAAATAAACAATTTTTCCTGCAAAACTCTACCAACCAACCACTGCAATTACCCAGTCCAAATCTTCCGGTAATTCCAGGTTTCATCTTTTCAATTTTCACCTTTCCTTCCAATCACCCATTACTTATTCTTTCTGGACTCTGAATTGAGAAACTTCAATGTTTTCTGGCAAATTAAAAATTATAATATATATTATTTCAGTTATTCCATTATATAGTGGGACAGATCCTTAACAATATCCTCTTAGTATTACTCCTATTCCAGTTCTTAATGTAGTTTTATGTTATAAATCATTTCTCAAGTAACTTGACCTGCTCATACCATCCACATTCTCTTATTCCTAAACATTCAATTTAAAATGATTTTATTTTGACAACTTTAGGTTTTCCTTGGTCCAGAATCATAACTGATTGGCGCAGGTCTGTGCAATATAGATAAATGCTTCTCATATTTCATCTGCCAGTTGTATTGGTTCTTATAAAATGAGGATATGCCCTTTCAATATGAGCAGTGAGTACATTTCCTTGTGGCTTCGGTTTGGCCATATCAACTTCCAGATATAAATATGAAAGTTCAATGTTTTTTTCTCAATAAACTTTAAAATTTGCTGGTAAGGATGACTTTACTAAGAGCTCATAGTCTTGCCAGCATCATTCTCAATAGTCAGGTTTTATTGCAGAAGATGTTGGAAGCTGCCCCTCCTATTTGGATAATAGGCAGCTACCATCCCTGTCTTCCTTTTTTCCCCTTTGAGTATTACTCTAAATTTTGTAGAATTCAGAAGGCAAATACTAACCTCTTTGGAGGGCAGACTGTCATTTTACCCTAGTGCGCACACACTACAACTTTGAGGATCTAGCCAGATACATTTTCTAGCCAGCAAATCAAAAAAGCTATTTAGATGCTGAACCCAACTTCCCTAAGGATTTTAGTTGATTTATAAAACTTTCATTCGTTGTATGTAAAAAAATATGTGGAAAAAGTTTTGTTCTTGGGAAAGATTCTAATGGGGCCCCTCAGCAAGGACTCAATTTACTAGACGCTTTATTTAGATGCTCTGTTGTGCCTACAAAAAGCCTATAAGTTTGTTGCAGATTCTTTGAGCAGTTCACAAACAAGTTAAAATTGCAATTAGAACACATCTTGAATGATGAGGAATGATTCCATGGGAACAGAGCAGTATTCAGATGGAGAAGATAATCCACAAAACATGTAAGCATTAAAATAAATGAACCGCTTTTAGTACACACGCATTATTCACTAAAATCACACCAAAATGACAGCATTCATAACCAAAATGAATAAATAAATTATTTAATATTAATAGCAATACTTAGAATGAAAGTCCTCCAAGCATTGCAACAAATTATTTAAAAATTCTAGACATCCTCCAGAAATATAACTTTTCCACTTCGAAAGTTTTTCTCCGAAAGAAAAAAGAGCATTGCCTGCCTTTGTTAATCCAAAGTGTTGCCATCATACTTTATAAAGGAGAGACTTGCTCATAACTGACATTGTGAGACACATCTTTTTACTTATTTCTCCTCATTTTCATTGGCTGGATATTCAGAAATTGAAAATTGATAAAAATTTCTTTTATCAAAAGACCAGAATCTTTCACCACAAATAAGAATCGCAATAGCAATTATAGACGTATATATTTATATACCACCCCATATTGCTTTACAAATGAATTAAAACACTTTTTTAAAAAATGAACAGCTGTCTGTTAAAGTGCTTCACAGGGCATTGGTTATTATAATCCAAAAGTTATACTTTAACTTTTTAAAGTATCCGACATTTCAAATTGTTTTGGAGACCTATCCATAAGATGGGATAACAGCACAGAACTACAAGTACTACTTCTAGCAATTCCAGATGTTTTCAGTTTGTGAAGTTGCTTATCAAAGCTAATGAAGGAGTCACTGAAGCAAACTACCCCGAAAATAAGACCTGGTCTTATATATATTTTTTTGCCTCCAAAAGTGGGGGGGGGGGTCTTGTTTTTTTCCCTGATACCTGCCTTGCAGCGGTGGCACCAACAGCCCCATCCACTAGGAGCCCAGTGCCACCACGAGGAGAGACAGATGGGGGAGAGCTGCCCCAAACGCCCCACACCCACTTATCACAAGACCACTGCATTTAGGCCTCCCACGCCCCAACACCTATTGTGCCGCCGCCCTACTTATTCTGTGGCCGCTTGCGGCAGGACCGCACATGGCACATCTCGCTGGTGCTACTGCCACAAGCAACAGCAGAATCCCCCTGGGATGACCTCGCTGGTGCCAGCTGCATGATATTTAACTTTATGCGCCTAGACCGGAGTCTCGGCAGTCTTAAAGGATACTTGTCTCAGGCTTGCAGCTCCGAGAGGGAAGCAGCAGGAGCAGTGGAGCGCTCCACTCATCTCCTGGCCTGTCCCATTGCGGCTGCCATCTCCGCCTGGAGCTTCCGCCTCCTTATTAGCCCAAGGCTCAAGTCTTGGCACTTAGGTTTAAATAGCGTACAGCTGATGCCGGCAGGGCCGTCCCGGGGGGATTCCTCTATTGCTGCTGCTGCTGGGCCGGCCTGGGCCACGCCCCGTTGTTTCCCAAGTTCCATCTTCGCCTGCTAACCAGGATTTTCATGCGCGGCTGCTCGCTTGGGAAGTAATGGTGCGGCAGTGTTCTGACCCGGGGGAGGATTCTGCTGTTGCTGCTGCTGCTGGGCTGGCCTGGGCCACGCCTCTCTGTTGCCTCCGAAGTCAGCCAACGCGCATGAAAATCCTGGGCAGCGGGCGAAGTTGGAGCTTGAGAGGCAGCAGCGGCGGAGCATTCCATCCCAGGAGGAGGATTCTGCTGTTGCTGCTTTTGCTGGGCCACACCTCGCTGTTACCTCCCAAGCCAGCCGATGCGCATGAAAATCCTGGACAGCAGCCAAAGGTGGAGTTTGAGAGGCAGCGGCGGGGTGCAGCCCAGCAGCAGCAATAACAGAATCCTCCCCCTGAGATGGAGAGCTTTACTGCCATCCGGGACGGAGATCTGGTGGAGACTGAAAGCTCCATCTCCTTGTGAATGGGGCACTTTGAAATGGAGCGATTAGTTCTGTCTCCCAGCGTCCCTTTTGTAAGTAAACAGAGCTTCCAGTCTCTATCAGATCTCCATTTTGGGGAAAAGTGTTTGGGCACTTATGGGGTGCTTCAGAACCAAGCGAACCGCTTTGTTCTGAAGTACCCCATAGGCGCCCAAATACTTCCCCCATTTCTGCCTCCGGGTGTGGACTTACCTGCTCTGCACCAAGGGGCTGTTGGGCTGCTGCTGCCGGACACCATCGGCCCCCATGCGCTGCCACTTGTGCTGGCCATGCCCAGCCCCGGGCTTATTTTTGGGGTAGGGCTTATATTAGGCCCACCTCAAAAAAATTAGGCTTGGGCTTAGTTTTGGGGTGGGTCTTATTTTCAGGGAAACACGGTATTACCTCTTCACCTCAAAGAGGAAAATCATTTCACCTCTACATCAGGGCTTTTCAACCGGTGGTACGCGTACCACCAGTGGTACACGAGCACCTGGCTGGTGGTACACGTAGGACGGGTTGAAAAAAAATGTTTAAAAAAATGTAAAAAAAAATGTAAAAGTGGATGAGGTGAAGCAGCAGCAGCACCGCACAGGCTTATGGCAAAGTCAGCTGGAACTGCACGTTCCCTGGTCCTACTGAGAGCCCAAGATCAAAGCGCGCAGCTCCAGCTGATTGGCGGCGGCCTTGGGGGTAGCAAGCAGCCTCAAGCAGTCTTCAGTGGAGATTCCGCTGGAGCTGCGCGACGCATTGCCTGGGTTTCCCCCCGCCCCCACCCAGATGCCCTCACCTCCCCCAAGCGATTTTTACTCACCTGCTTTCAGCAGCATTCCCTTTCTCCTGCCCTTCTTAACCTTCATGTGTTTGTGAGACAAAAAAAAAAGTTCCATGAGACTCTCTAACTTCTCACAAGAAGTTAGAAAGTTTCATGGAACTTTTATTTCTTTTTTACCCACAAACACGTGGCGAAGGCAGAGAAGCAAATGAAGGCAGAGAAGCAAAAGGAGAAAGGGAGTGCAGCTGAAAGCAGGTGAGTAAAAAAATGCTTCGGGAAGGCGAGGGCATCTGGGTGGGGGCGCCAATCTTACCCTCCATGGTGGTGGAAGGGTTAACAGCAGGCACGGGGGGCCCAAGAGCTGCACAAAGCAGGCGGGGGCGGGCAGATTGTGGGCGCCAGCGAGATGGGCAGGGGCGCGAATTGGCGTGTGTTCAGAAACGCCGATCTCGTGCTCCTGCTTATCTCACTTGCTTGCAGAAAGCTGTAACGTTTACAGCACCGTCTTTTGGGAGGGGGG